TCTCAAACGTTTTCCAATCAAATTGGACACTCCTGGCCGATGCCACGGTTAACCCTAGCTCACGATTTGGACTGATATTTTTGAATCGATTCAGATTTTTGATTTACGTTGTTTCAGATGTTTTCTATCCCTTCAAAGCCTTAATCTCTAATTTGAATTCTCATACTTTTTTCAATCAAATTGGACATTCCTAGCTTTTCTTCAGCCAACCCTAGCTCACGGTACAGACATGTGTTGTTGAATCAGTTTAGTTTTTTTCATTTATGTTTTGGCAAATACTTTGTGTCCATTCTAATCATCAATCTCTAATTTGAATTCTCAAACATTTTCTAATCAAATTGGACACTCCTAGCCGATGCCACAGTCAACCCTATATCACGGTTTAGACTGATATTTTTGAATCGATTCAGATTTTTTGGTTTATGTTGTTGTAGATGTTTTGTGTCCCTTCGAAACCTCAATCTCTAATTCACGGTATAGACAAGTGTTTTTGAATCAGTTTAGGTTTTTTTACTCATGTTTTAGCAGATCTTTTGTGTCCATATGAATCCTCAATCTCTAACTTGAATTCTCATGCTTTTCCAATCAAATTGGCCATTTCTGGCCTTTTTTTTCATCCAACCCTATCTCACGGTATAGATAGGTGTTGTTGAATCGGTTCAGTTTTTTTTTCTCATGTTTTAGCAGATCTTTTGTGTCCATTCGAATTCTTAATCTCTGACTTGAATTCTCATCCTTTTTCCAATCAAATTGGCCACTTCTTGCCTTTTCTTCAACCAACCCTAGCTCACGGTACGGACAGGTTTTGTTGAATCGGTTCAGTTTTTTACATTTACGTTTTATAAGATATTTTGTCACCATTTGAATCCTCAATCTCTAATTTGAATTCTTGTACTTTTTCCAATGAAATTGGCCACTTGTAGCCGTTTCTTCAGCCAACCCTAGCTCACAGTACAAACAGGTATTGTTGAATCGATTCAATTTTTTAGATTCATGTTTTAGTAGATCTTTTGTGTCCATTCGAATCCTCCATCTCTGACATGAATTCTCATGTTTTTTCCAATCAAATTGGCCACTTCTATCCTTTTCTTCAACCAACCCTAGCTCACGGTACGGATTGGTGTTGTTGAAACGGTTTAGTTTTTTCTATTCATGTTTTAACAGATCTTTTGTGTCCATTCCAATGCTCAATCTCTAACTTGAATTCTCATACTTTTTCCAATCAAATTGGCCACTTTTAGCCTTTTCTTCAGCGAACCCTATCTCACGATACAAACTGGTATCGCTCAATCTCTAATTTGAATTCTCATTTTCTTTTCCCACTCATAGCCTTTGCCTTAGCCAATCCTAGCTCACGTTACAGATTGGTATTATTGAATCGATTCAGTTTGTTTCATTTATGTTTTAGCAAATCTTTTATGTCCTTTTGAATCCTCAAACCCTAATTGGAATTCTCAAACTTTTTCCCACCAAATGGACCACTCGTAGCCTTTGCCTCAACCAACCTTAGCTCATGGTACAAACTGGTATGGTTGAACAAGTACAGTTTTTTTCATTTACGTTCTAGCAGATCTTTTGTGTCCCCAAAGTGCCTATATATCTGAAAACACAATATCTTACTCGTAATTTATTAAGTGAAAAAGCTCTATTTTTTCTGAAAACTCCATATCTATATATCTAAGAACGCCCAATATCTTAATAATATATTTTTTTTTTTTTTTATCTTCCCTGTAAGTTATAGTGTGAAGTGCATATATATCTGATAACGCAATATCTTACCCGTAATTTATTGAGTGAATAAAATATTTTTTTGAAAACGCAATATCTTACACCAAAGTTAACGAGTGAAAAGCATATATATCTGAGAACTCAATATCTTACCGGTAATTTAATGAGTGAAAAACCTATTTTTCTAAAAACACAATATCTTACAAGTAAGTTACAAAGTGAAGTGCCAATATATCTAAGAATGCAACATCTTACCCCTAAGTTATTGATTGAAAAGTCTATTTTTCTAAAAACACCATATCTTACCAATAAGTTATAGTGTAAAGTGCCTATATATCTTAGAACGCAATATCTTACCCATAATATATTGAGTGAAAAGCCTATTTTTCGTAAAGCACCATATCTTACCGGTAAATTATAGTGTAAAGTGCCAATATAACAGAGAGACACAATATCTTACGCGTAGTTATTGAGTGAAAAGACTATTTTTCTGAAAACATCATATATTACCAGTAAGTTATAGTGTAAAGTGCCTATATATCTGAGAACGTAATATCTTATCGGTAATTTAATGAGTGAAAAGCCTATTTTTTGGAAAACACGATATCTTACCGATAAGTAATAGTGTAAACTGCCTATATATTTGAGAACACAATATCTTACCTGTAATTTATTGAGTGAAAAGCCTATTTTTTTGAAAACATCATATCTTACCACTAAGTTATAGTGTAAAGTGCCTATATATCTATGAACGCAATATCTTACCAGTAATTTCTTAAGTGAAAAGCCTATTTTTCTAAAAACACCATATCTTACCAATAAGTTAATCAGTGAAAAGCATATATATCTGATAACGCAATATCTTACTAGTAATTTAATGATTTAAAAGCCTATTTTTCTAAAAACATTATATCTTACCGGTAAGTTATAGTGTAAAGTGCATATATATTTAAGAACACAATATCTTACCCGTAATTTATTGAGTGAAAAGCCTATTTTTTCTGAAATCACCATATCTTACCAATTAGTTAATGAGTGAAAAGCATATATATCTGAGAACGCAACATCTTACAGGTAATTTAACGAGTGAAAATCCTATTTTTCTAAAAACATCATATCTTACCGGTAAGTTATAGTGTAAAGTGCCTATATATCTTAGAACACAATATCTTACCTGTAATTTATTGAGTGAAAAGTCCATTTTTCTAAAAACACCATATCTTACCAATAAGTTAATGAGTGAAAAGCATATATATCTGAGAATGCAATATATTACCGGTAATTTAATGAGTGAAAAGCCTATTTTTTTCTGAATATCTTACTGGTAAGTTATAATGTAAAGTGCCTATATATCTGAGAACGCAATATCTTACCCGTAATTTATTAAGTGAAAAGCCTATTTCTCCCTTAAAACACCATAACCAATAAGTTATAGTGTGAAGTGCCTATATATCTGAGAACGCAATATCTTACCCGTAATTTATGAGTAAAAAGCCTGTTTTTTCTGAAAACACCATATCTTACCAATAAGTTGTAGTGTGAAGTGCCTACATATCTGAGAATGTAATATCTTACCCGTAATTTATTGAGTGAATAGCCTATTTTTTGAAAACACAATATCTTACCCCCCACTAAGTTAATGAGTGAAAGCATATATATATGAGAAAGCAATATCTTACCGGTAATTTAATGAGTGAAAAGCCTATTTTTCTGAAAACATCATATCTTACCGGTAAGTAATAGTGTGAAGTGCCTGTATATCTGATAATGTAATATCTTATCGGTAATTTAGTGAGTGAAAAGCCTATTTTTCTAACAAACACCATATCTTACCGGTAAGTTATAGTGTGAAGTACCTATATATATCTGAGAACGCAATATCTTACCTATTTAATGACTGAAAAGCCTATTTTTCTGAGAACACCATATCTTACCGGTAAGTTATCGTGTGATGTGCCTACATATATATATATATATATATATATATATCTGATAACGCAATATCTTACTAGTAATTTAATGATTGAAAAGTCTATTTTTCTGAAAACACCATATCTTATCGGTAAGTTATCATGTGATGTGCCTATATATATATATATATATATCTGATAACACAATATCTTACAGGTAATTTAATGAGTGAAAAACCTATTTTTTCTGAAAACATCATATCTTACCAGTAAGTTATAGTGTGAAGTGCATATATATCTGATAACGCAATTTCTTACCCGTAATTTATTGAGTGAATAGCCTATTTTTCTAAAAACGCAATATCTTACCCCTAAGTTAATGAGTGAAAAGCACATATATCTAATAATGCAATATTTTAACTGTAATTTAATGAGTGAAAATCCTATTTTTCTGTAAACTCAATATCATACTAATATGTTATAGAGTAAAAAATCCTATATATCTGAAAACGCAATAACTTACCGGTAAGTGATAGAGTAAAATTCCTATATATCTTAGAACACAATATCTTAGTGGTAATTTAATGACGGAAAATACTATTTTTTTTAAAAACGCAATATCTTACCAATAAGTTTTAGATGGAAAAGCCTATATATTTTACAACGCTATGTCTTACAGGGACACAAAAGATCTGCAATAACATAAATGAAACAAACTAAACAGGTTCAACAATACCAGTCTATACCGTGAGTCAGGGTTGCTGAGGCGAAGCCTATGAGTGGTCAATTTTGTTTTTTAAAATATGAGAATTCAAATTATAGATTGAGGATTCAAGGGGACACACAATATCTGCAAGAACATAAATGAAAAAAACTGAACTGGTTCGATAACACCTATCGATACTGTGAAGGGATCGAAAGTTGCAACGCTTCACTTGTAGTAGTATTTCAAATGATGGGTGTTCCAAGGGTGACCGAGGGTCTGACCTTCGAAACTACGCAAATCTTACCGGTAAATAGAGTGAAAAGCCAATATCTTACAGGTAAGGGTCAATTTGGGATTGCTATCACTTTTTTACAAAGCTGCTTATGATGTGCTTTGAAAATAATGGGTTGTAAAGTAAAGCAATTTTATGTTTGGTAAACAATATTTTTAAAGTGTTGTTAGTATAAAAAGCAGTTTCAAAACGTTTGGTAAATTTTAATATAAGGGTTTAGGTGTAACTGTGGATAATGATTAAAATGGACATGATGTTGTTGATAAATTTTAATATAAAACTATTGTAATTGTCAATAATGACTAAAATAGACATGATGTTGAAATTGTTGTGCTATGTGGTGGTGGTGGTGGTGGTGGTATAGGTGGAGGTGGTGGGTGGAGGCGGTGGGTGGGTGGTGAAGGTGGAGGTGGATTTGGTGGTTGTGGTGGTGGTGGAGGTGGAGGTGGTGGTGGTAGTGGTAGAGGTGGAGGTGAAAAGTGTTTTCATATAGATGAGGGCCATCATCACCATCATCAGCTTCACTGCTCCTCCTCCCCTTAGAATAGACTATCCATCGAATCAAGAAAAAAAGAAGAGTAAAGAAAAGAGGTAAAGTACTTTTCTATATTATATATATACAAAAAACACACATACGAGACGCGCCTCTTTTTTACTTTCCCCTCCTCAAAACGTGAATCTTGTTCTTTTCCCTTTTCTTCTTTTGTTCTTTAGTGGCTCCCTATTCTCCTTCTTTCTTCTCCTTACGCTCCTTCCTCTCTCTCTCTATCCACACACTAATGGAATGTTTACTAGTCCGTAATCGGATTAGGAGGAATTGAATTGAGGATTAGTTGAATTGAGAAAAGTTAGATTCCAGATTCTTATTGAAGTTGTTTTCTAAACCATATGGGATTAGAATAGAAGTGATACTAATTCCTTATAAATTGTTTACTAAATTCACATGAATTGAAATAGAAACCAAATTGATTACTAAAATGCCCTTGTTGGATTAAAATAGATAGCGAATTTGGAATTTTAAAAATTGTGTGAAGAAATATGACCACCACAAAGAAACCCCTGAAAAGAATGAAACCCTAAAACATTAAAAACCCCTGCAAATATTGAAACTGTAGAAACACCAAAAACCCTGAAAACACAGAAACCCTAAAACCCTAATTATTTTTTCTACATCTCTCTTTCCATCGGAGCGAACTTTGGTAGCGTCTGATTGAATAAGATCTCAATTTCTGGAATTGTTTGTTCCACACGTTAAATGTCATGTTAAGGTGGTCTCCCCAATGGCTAATACTGGCTAGCATTATTGCTTTATATACCGGGCCATTTTCAGCGAACATAAGGTGGATAATATCAATGCAAAATACTTCAGATAATGGCCAACTTAAATAAAGCTGATTGTATTTACAATATCCGGCATATACAATTCTCTTTCCCTCCAAAAAAAAATTTGGTCTTTTGACACCAATAACCATTAACCCTGACGCCAGGCTCACTCCTGGAACCACTCAATCAACTCTTGCCCCAAAGCTCCTGAAAATACAAAGGATATGGGAGAACCAACCAAAGGGGAAGGGGTCGGTAGAGCTATAATGTCAAAATTTGGGTCCCAACTTGCTTCAGAAATATACACTGTACAGAGTGGAAAGCTGGGCATCAGCCGTCAAGCTTTGCCAAGAACTGGCTGAGATTGTATTCTTCGGTATATTGTGATTGATCCCACAGCTCCTCCAGCCCACCAAGAATTGCTTTCAGCCCCTTTCCCGTGCCCGGTAACTTCATATCTCCATCAAATTTTCCATCTGGATGCTTAGACACAGTTCCCTTGAAAACAAATAAATATTTATAACTTGTCATTGACATCCAAACCAAAAATGAAACAAAGAAAGAAAAACAAACTGGAAGAATAAATAAATAAAAATTTGATTAAAGATGAAGAGAAACAAAGAAAGATATTTGTCCATATAAGAAAAAGAGATCAACATTGGCATAAACAGGCAGAAGATAGGACCAGCCAGCAATACCTTTTTAGATGTTTCTGCAGTTGCAAATAGATCAAGCAATTGGTCTGTATTCATTGTTTTCATACTAGCATTTTCAGCATTAATGACTGCATTAGCTACTGAAAGCTTAAACTTTTGCAAGCTCATAACTTTCTCTTCGAGGGTACCACGCATAATCAGACGATGGACATTGACAACCTTTTTCTGACCTAATCTGTGTGCTCTATCCATTGCCTGCAAGTAAACAACAGTAAGATGCTCAATTTTTACTTTACAGTGACCTCTAAAGCAGAGGTTGCAGCATCTTAACAGAAACTCAAAACAATAATAAGCAACTAGGGAGCTTCCTGCAAATCATCTCAGATTTATTCCTCAACACTAGACTTAAATGTGACAGATGGCATGTGTATCCAATTTCAAGAGAGGAAAATTTGTACTCCTTAGAGGATAAAGACAGCATAAGATGGTCACCTGATGATCCCGCATTGGGTTCCAGTCGTGCTCCACGAAGATGAGAGTATCTGCAGATGTCAAGTTCAAGCCCAGCCCACCAACTGCAAAAAGTGATTAAGTTTTAATATCACCCTAATAGTCAATCTACTTCACATGCAAAAAGAGAGAATTCCAACCATGGGTTGTGAGCAGCAGAACATCGATTGTAGGATCCGAATTGAAAGCCTTAACAATATCAAAACGTTTTTCAGGTTCAACTGACCATCCAGCCGCAAGTAGGTTACACTGCTTTCAAGCAACATGTAAGAAAATTAGACCGGTTAATGTTGAAAAAGACATTGTGTGAATTGTAAGAAACTGTATCAGTTCCTATGTGAAGACAATTGCACAAGTTCACTAAACTAGAGGATGATTCTTTTATGCCCACAATACCTAATTACTTGTTTGTCACGTGTACTTGGCCATTAATTTCTGGAATATTAATTTGCAAATTTTCATATCACACATCAAAACAAATAACCAGATTTCCATTCGAAATAGTTGAAGTTATTTAATAATGTTACTGATCAACAAAATTGTGGGTCAACATTGTCACCTAAACCTAACACTAGAATACATTTCCACTGCAAAACAGTCTTAATAATGTCAACAGAACTAATCTATAGAGAAAATAACAAAGGTGGGTGTGACACTAACATAGCAACCTATTTGCAACCTCTGTATAATATAGGTTTAGGAGACCAACCTCTTCATATGACTATGAAACAAGTCTCTTTCAATTAAGTCCAGAAATGCCTGCATGAGATGCCATTGTACATTATAGGCCATAAATTAGGGCTAAACATAAAAGAGAATTAGTCAAATATAAATGAGCATTACTTTATGTTGAGCAAAAATCAAGACTCTGTGCTGCCCCACGCTTATGGAACCCTCAGAACTAGAGGCATCGACACCTATTCCACATTCTTCAAGGATCTCCTGAAGTGCAACTAGTTTGGGAGAGTGGTATGGCTTATGCAATTCCGAAATTGTGTCAGAGACTCCAGGTAATAGCTCTGACAAAAGGCATGTAATGGAATCTGGAACTTTTTCCCCAAGAACAAGCAATGGATGACTACAGAGTTTAAGCAAGTACTGAAGTGCCTGAAAGACCAGATAACATATATTATATGATTGGAACTGACTGATAAAAAAATAAAAAATTGAATCACATACAAGAATAAATAACAAAATTACCTGAAACACATGAGAAGACGCTCTGGGTGAATCACTGCGTCCTCCTGTATCTGCTGACTCGTTTAGTTTTACCATACTTGAGATCTCTTGTCTCACATGTGAACCAGAAAACTGTTCATACAATTTTAATTGTACAGGGCTCAGGTCACAGAACCTGTCCTGAATAATTTTCTCGGGAAGATCAGACAAGACTTCATCTTTTGTTCGACGGAGGAGGAAAGGCATGACCTATTTGATAGAAAATGCTTTAGTTAGAAGAACACAACCATCTCGGCCAAAACTCGTTACTTATGCAAAGAGTAAATACCATGCTATGCATACTTCACCAGAAAAGAATGTCAGAGAACAATAGTTTGCCCTTTTCAAAAGTTCCGGTACTTGGAAAGCACAATTAAAAAAAATTAAATAAATCATATGTTCTTATAATAGTTTGACTTCATCACTAAATTTGGGAAACAGTTTCCAGTGATATGGCATGGTCAGCTATCAAGGGGATCATCTAACCACTGACAAAGGGTTGGCCAATTATAAGCATGGTGGGTGGCAAGAGGGTCAGTCGATGGCCATTAGGCTACCATTGACCATTTTGAAGGATAAGTAGATAAATTAAGGTGGTTGGTATGGTGAACCGCATACTCTTGTTCCAGAAGACTACCCTCCACTGTCAAAGAAACCAAGCCATTTTTCCACCTCATACTGGGTAATTTTTATATATAGCAAATAAGGTATTTTCCATTCAATACTCTCCTGTGTCGAAGCACACACCAAATAGCACAATTTCTTTTCAAGATAAAGAAATGAGGATGGTATAAAGAAACTATTCATCCACCTGCTTGTGCAATGCTTCCATAGCAAGTGCTCCTGCTTCAGCATCCTTGGCAGAGCACTTAGGATCTCTGGCTGCCAGCAGTGGTTTTCCATAAGTGGCTTGGAACTGTCCAAAGTCATGAAATCAACAATTTATTTAACACCAAATTGACAGTCAAGAAGGAGAAAAGTGTACAACAGTATTACATACAAAATTTACATGCATCTCACATCGTAAATAGATTAGCAAGTCAAGGAGAAATAAAAATAAATTAAACTACTTAATTCACACGACTGACGATGGAAATTTTCCAAAGATTAGTTGATTATGAATACTTTCTCTTCTTTCAATTGGTATCATCTCTTGTGATCTTCAGTTTTGGATAACATTTGGAAATTTCATTTTAAACTCTCTTTTTGCATCCAAATAGATTTGATAAAAAGGTCTTGGCTTGTTCACTATATTCTGGACCATCTCTACATAGTTCAAACCAAAATTTAGTCTTATCAGGTTATGGACTTGTGATGCAATGCAAGTCAGGGAAAATAACCACAAATCTAACATATACATAAAACTCAGGGCTACAGCGTGTAGAGTGTAGACATACAGACTTGTTCAGCATTTTCAAAATACTAACAATTTAGTCATAAATATTTCTTCGATGTAACTTTTTAATCATCATCACAATCAGTAAATTATGATTTAAGACATATCAACAATAACAATAATGACCACCTCCATCATCAAAGCCACTAAATTTAGTTAGTTGAGGCATATCAATTCAATCAAGTGCATGAAAAGAGACTTGAAGTGCCTTTTTTTTTCATCTAACATGTCAAAATTGTGTTCAAAACAGACATTACATCCATCACATTTATGGGATACTTAGCACATACGGTAAAAAAGAGCAATGTAAACCATGCATGCACACGATCTTCACTATATAATTCACATAGAAAAATCAACAATAAGCAACAGAGGAATAAATGCAATGGTTATTTGCAAAGTCATTTGGCACTGCATAATTTGGCTGCATGATCATGACT